AAGTCAAACTTTAGTTTATATAATATATATAGTTATATATAAAAAAAAAGTTGAGAAAAGAAAGTAAAGGTTGGCAAACAAAAATTAAAATCCATTATATTATTTATTAAATATTAAATAAGAACGCAAACAAGTTTGTATGCTAAAAGATAATACATACTATGGTTGTTAGGAAAAGAACTGTGTAATTGACAAGGACTTTGACTTTAAGAGAACTAGTAGTCAATAGAGATGTCTTGATCAATGGTAGCAAGTTGGGCAAGTAATCAAATCCGGTTGTGGTGATGAAGTCTTATAGAAGTAAATTTAGGGAAAAAAATGATTTTCAAGATCAAGGTTGAGTTTGCATAAAACTAATTTACACTTTGAGATGTCTGGATAAGTAATTGTTTTTAAACAAAGTTAATATATCTTGCTTTTTGGAATGTTTGGTTTTACATTTATAATTTTGATAAAATGTACGAACTTTCGTGATTATGTTGAATTTTTCTTGGGATGAGAGATTAAGAGCAGCTGATGATTTCGGTCCAATCTCGGGATGAGTTTGGAATAAAGTTGGGGAGGTTTGAGCGGGTTATTTTGGGAACATATTAGATTGTGTTGATTTGAGGCGTGTGTGCCCAAGAATGACACTGCTTTAATGAATTATTGAATATAATGCGCGTGTAATCATATACGACTAAAATTGGGTGGAACTTGCAAGCAAAACGTACTGTTTGAAGCCGAAAACGGTCCTTCATGGCTTCGTAATGTTCAACAATTCATGAAAGTAATGTCATTCTTGGGCAAACACACATCAATTGAACACATTTACTACAATTTAATGTGTTCCCAAAATAGCTCGATTAACTGCCACAAGATAAAGACTCTCCACTTAAGGAAAAGAGAATGATTGTAATATGTATGACACATCTTGTGTCGAGCTCATTGATTTTATTGAATAAGTATGTGTGTTGTTCGGTCATGGTAATAGCTCGTTCCCTTTCGTTCTCAATTTTTTTCAGTTGTGTCTTCTTGCGACCACATTTTCTTTGTAAAATCTTTCCTTATCTTTAAATCTAAAAAATGTGAAAGATCATGAGAAAGGTTGTGAAAGATTTGAGGCATGCCAATATTACCAAGATGGGGTCGCTAGAAAATTTCTTACATTTGTCCAAGAGCCAAGGTGGCTTATCAAGAAAGCCGGTGATCTCGTGCAGTGCTATTTGGTGTATAGATTGCAATCATTCTCTTCTCTATTAACCGAAAGCATTTATCACTGGGCACCCTTTTTCCTTGGTTTGTGCACAAATTTATTAACTTGAATCAAGATGTCCAACAACAACTTTATTTTGTCAAGTCTTACCATGACTCTCAAGTACACGTGCGCAATCAAGAATTTAGTGAAGTGAATGAACAGTTTTCTAAATGAGAGTGGGACAAATGATCCATGAAAGAATAAAAGCTTCATTGTAAGGAAAACGTATGAGGACAATATGATTAGCCTTGGGATACATGGCTCATGCAATTGAAATACAAAATGTTCAAAAGAAACTTGAGTGTAATGATGACGCAACAAGTTGGTCATCCTCCTGAAATGATGCTTATGAAACGGATTAAACTGAAATTAGAGGGCTAAAGATTATTTAAAGCTATGACTATGATAATATGGTTTAGTCGTAATCAAGTAAAAGAAAAGAGTTGAAATTAGCTTCTGATTCCAATGCTATGAAAAAAAAAATCATAGAAGCATGTGATAATGATCGAAGTTTTGAGTTAAGACTTCTAATTTTGTTTTCGAATAATTTAAAGTTTTGAGTTTTAATGTTCTCGCACTTTATCATGCATAGTTGCAACTGCCTAAACAAATGCTTGAGCAACCACGTATATCATGTTCTTTATGGAAGCATCATCTCTATATTGGGTAGAGGTGAGAAGATAGAAGCGTATCCAGAAGAGGAACATTTTTGTCAATATTATGCACATTACAAAATTGAAAATTCATCCAAACAGAAGCTACGATAAGATAATTTTGAAAATTCTCGGAAGTAACTTCTGATTCCTATGTGTTATAATAAAGAATTAGAACTACATAATGAGCAAAGTTTTGAGTTAAGTCGTTGTTTCGTGCATGTGTAACAAAGTCACATAAGGTTGTTGCACTTTTTATAACCTATAGCAACAACTTCAACAGAAATCCCTTGAGCAACCCTGCAATTCTTGATATAAACATTGGTAAGAATGTGCAGAAATTAGTGGGGGTGAAAATGGGACCCGGGTACCCCCATCTGAAACTTGAACTGATGTGAGTGATGCTGGTTATGGATCCTAAACTATTACATTTGTGGATTATAATGGTTAAAAAAATTAATTTCAAGGCTTATAATCATATTTTTTTAATGTTCAGTTTGTAATTCTTACCATTTACGATCTGTATTGATATCATCAATATTTGATCTTGTGAAACCAAATTTAAACAATGTTCTAAGTTATTTCAGATAGCATCATCTGGGGAGTTGGCTAAGGGAGTTTGGTTCGTAGATTCTTTTTAGTAAATTTGGAATTTTTTTGAAGGTATTGGAATTCTATGGAATTATAAACATGAGGTATTTGGTTGAAAAAAAATGGAATTCAATTTAGTTAATTAGTAAATATATTCTAAATTACATATTTATATTTATGGGTTGTTTCCTTGATCAAACTTAACCTTCCAAACATAATGATAAACTGCAGATCGGAAATTGGCATTATAACAGCACAGATAAATTTTCAATCCAACAGTCCCATGCTAAAATCGCTGACTGATTTTGATAAGTGACATTGACAATATCAACTGAAAGCTATCAAAACCATACGCCAATGCAATTTTGTAATAAGCCCTAACAAAAGGCCCTTCAGAAATTGACAAAAAAAATTGTCTCTTCATCTAAAATTAACATGATTTGTTCTTTCATTTTACATATTCAGCTTATCAATTCAACGCAAACAAAAAAAAAAGTTGTGTATGATCTTTGTAAGAACATTTTTGGGTACCACACTAAAGTTACTTAAATTTCCCATTTTACTTGTTTCCAATCTTCTTTCCATAGAGCGGTTATCTTTTTTTTTTTTTTTTTTTTTTTTTTTTCCCAGAAAGCATCACTTTTCTAGCAAAGGTATAAACCTTAAACATATGGTCCTCTTAGGGGCTCATTGATTGCCTTCTGACCCAATCCAGAAGTTTTTGCTCACCAGGTTTGTGTGTTTGATGCCATCAATATTGCCTCTAACTTGGTCCTCAACCCTCTGAAATCCTCTATCACTGATTTATAATATAAACCCAGCTACATACATTCATACAAAGATCGAAGATCTTTCAAAATTGCATCTTCACGAGTTATGCTCTAATTTTTGCACTTGATGCCTTTGCTCTAGCTCAATCAATTAAGGTCTTCACCACATGCTAATGATACATAATGGTGTATGGAGTTAGCCCATACACAACAACAGTCCGAAACAAGACAATTACTTACCAGGTCTGCCAAAGCCTTACCAGGATAGAATGGAAATGAAGGGTAGATATGGAAGGACAGAAGGACAACCGGATAGAAAAGTAGAACAATTCTCTAGATTCCTACACAATAAAAGGAGATCTATCAAGTACACAAGATCCAATATTATATTAGTAGACTATTACACTAGCTAATATAATATTATCATGGTCTTTCCTTCCCTGCTATTTAGAGGAAGGGAAGGAACAATAGGGTTTTGTCAATTTCGCTAAATTTGTCCTGGATTTAGTTTTGAGTGTATGTGAAATTCCTTTTGATTTTGGGTTTTTATGATTCTATAACAGACCCATGGTTTGATAAGTTTCTTTTATGGTTTGATGTAGTTTATTTTTTTGGATTTGCAACTACAACGATCTATCTTTGTGTCCACAGCTGAAAGGAGCCATTAAGCATGAATGTAGAGGAAAGTCATCCTGAATATTTCTTGAACATTTTTATTTTTGATAAAGTAGTTTATTTGTTATATATGGGTGTTACCCCACAAGAGTTTAGCATGTGTTTTATTACGTGTGAGTTTTTAGTAGATGTTTGTATTAGTTTGAAGTCAGATTAAAGGCGTTAAAACAGTGTTTATTTATATGATTAGTGGTGGCTTCGAGCCAGATTTGTAATACAAAAAGGAATGAGATTTATACAGGAAAGGAATGAGTTCAATGCCATTTTCTATAATGAAGACAATTTATATGGTTAACTGTATGTTAAAATTCTCAAACAAGAATGTGTGAAAGTATACAAATGTTAAGAAGTATACCAGTGTCCATTATAAAAGATGTTTGAGGGTAATAGATTCATTTTGCACAATTAGTCAGATGCAAAATCAAACAGTTCCAAACTATCAAACGAGCCGTTAGGCAATATTGGGTATCTAGCACCTTTGTATTAACTACCTCAAAGTGGCAAAGCGCCCTAGACAGATTTCCTTAACATGATTAGGAGACTTGCACACAAATTTTCACAATAATTAAGAGTAATACAAAAAGATTTTACTAAGCAAAACTTATTTCACTATAAAAAAAATCAAACCATACTCTTGTACTTGTGCCTAAAAAGATAATATAAAATCTTCGAGAAAATGCTACTGTAGAACAACAAAGTTCGGTGATTTTACCCATTTAGTCACTCAAGTAATTTTTTTGCACAATTAGTCCTTAAAGTAAGCAAATACTGTCTAATTAAGGGACTGGGGGAAATTGTCTCCGGTTTACGGGTTACTTGTTAACGTGTCTTGACCTACATTGATACGAATAGACCACGTCACCGTACATGTGGTTACCTTCCTTAAATGGAACCCTCAATCAAACCAAGTGCAATACGTTCTTACCCCAAATTAGGTTATTGTCTACCTCTCGAAACCATATTCTCAATCGTTATAACCAAAACAATGTTTGTCTCGTTTGCTCAATCCAGCAACGTCCTTCGTCTTGGACACCATGGCGATTATGAACAATGCCCCCCCAAGTAACTGTAAAGATGGTATTAGCATCGAAAGAACTTTTTGTACCGATGATAACCCAGCTTGTAGGTTTTGGAACCGCAAAATTCGTTAGTGAGTATTCCTTATTTTAGTTCCACCCCATTTGGTATCTTTAACTAAAAACTTCACAGATTTATGGTATTCATAACCCTAATTGTATACTCCATTTTTAATTAGTCAAGTGAAGCTCCAAGTTGTAATTTTTTCTTGTGGAAATACAATGAAATGAAGGAGGAGTATTACAAAGACCAAATTCGTAAGATGAGGTATGAGATATGCAGAAAGGAAGACTATAGTGAGGTTGTGAAGGCTCATAAGAAAGTGGTTCAATTGGAGAAAGCTAGGGATGAACTGCAGGAGTTGAGGGAAGATGAGAAGGAAGTTTTCGAGATAGATTTAATGGAGTTGAACTGTTAGGACATAATTAATGGTTTATACTTTACTTTTGTTGGCTTTTAGTGTTCTCAGGACCGAATTCTCCATATTCTCGGTGGTGTTTGGACCGAAATCACCTTGTGATTTCGGTGGATGATTTCGGTGGGCTTATAGGATTTCGGTTGGGCTTGGGCTTGTTAAGGCTTTGTATTAGGTTTAGTATACAATGTATTATCAGCAGTGTATGAAAGAGTTAGTCGGTTGGTGATTCTAAGAAGCTGTTATCGAGTTAGAGAAAAAGAGAGAACCGAGACTAAGAGAATCTTATGTACCCGACTATTGATAATTAATAGTGTGCATTGAAGATTTGTGATTGTGTTCTTAATTTGCTTTAATTGTTTTGCATTAATCATTGAATTGGGATTCCACGCTAATTCTTGTGACTTCGATTGATACACGAAATAGGGTTTTACAATTGGTATCAAAGCTACGGCTTGGTATCAATCGAATTGGCCTTAAACATTAAACGTTTCTTGGAATTGTCTTGATATTTTTGGTGTTTTTTAAGTTCTTTGTCGAAAAATTGTTGTTGCTGTTCTTCGTGTTCTTCATTCTATTGGAAACTTTGATCGAAGTTGGTTTTGTTAAGTTGCCAATTTTGTGTTTCCGGTATTTTTTGGAGTTTTCTGGCTTTTTTGATTTATTTTTGACGAAATTATTGCCATTGTTCTTTGTGTTCTTCACTATTTTAGAGAGTTTGATCGAGTTTGGCTTTGAAAATATACAAATTTCGTGTTTTTGGCAATTTTTGGGAGTCTTCGGTCAAAGATTCGGAGTTCTCGGCGGCAAACTCAAGTCCTCGGTTAGGGCTTGCGAGTTCTCGGCGGCTAGCAATCGACTTCGGTTAGGGTTTGTGAGTTCTCGGCCAGTCCTCGGACACACCTTCGTTCTCGGTCCTTGCCTCGTAGTTCTCGGTGGCGGCCCCTCGTTCTCGGTTAGGTCAGACAGGTTCTCAGTAGGACTTCAGCCTCCAGTCTGCGTATTCGGTGCGAGTCTTCGGTCAGCTCTACTTCTCGGTATTCAAGTTCTCGTCCACGTCTTCGGTTAAGCGTCTTTAGTCTGCACTTCGGCCTCACATTCTCGGTTAGATTTTCGGATCATCAAGATTTCGACTAAGGCCTCGTTTTCGGTCTAGGTGCTTTGTTCTCGGTCAAGGTTTTTCTTCGGACAAAAGGTTGACCTTCAAGGTTCTCGATCAACAGAGAGTTGACCATTGGTATTTTCGGTCTGAGAAGCATTTATTTACACAATCAGATTTTTGTTTGTTGGTAAATAATGAGTTCTTACAATAATACCAAGAAGGTAAGTGAAACCTCATGCTCTCAGTCTTGTGAAGATAAAATTAATAAATATCGTGAGCATAATGAGTTATTAGTTAGAGAGGTTTTTGACCTTAAAAATGAAATTTATGAAATTAAGAAAGTCAACAAACCTCTTAAAGAAAAACTAGATGCTCAAAATAAAGACTTAATTAGGCTTAGGGAGGAATATAGCACAAAATGTGTTCACCATCGGTATGCTAAAGAGGAAATTGTCAAATTAACTGTCGAACTTGATGCATTCAAAGCTAAATTTAAAGATGCTAAATTTAACTTTTAGAAATTTGATGTGTCAGGTGAGATAGTTGAATCTATGATAGATAAGCAATTGAAATGGAAAGATAATCAGAAAAATGGCTTAGGTTATCATAGTGTACCACCTCCCTTTAATGATAATTATGTTTCTACCTAAGAGACCGTAGAAATAGAAAGACCTGCTCAGTTTGGCCAGCCTATGTATCAAATTCAGTTAAGACTGAACAATCTGGCCCCACTAAGAGTATTAATGTGAATGATTCTAATATCTCTACTTCATGTGCAGATAAAGTAACTGTGCAAGATGGGTTCGAGCAGAACAAAAATAATTCTAGTTCTGCTGAAAAAGCTTCAAAATCTTGTGATGACAATAATCCCATTGTAGAAAAATCTAAGCCACAAAAAATTGTCAGATAGTCTAATAAATGTGTGTGTGCTTGTGGAATGTCTTTGAAACAAACTTCATTTGGACAAGGACCAAGTCACAATCTTATTTATTTGAAAAGACAAACTTGTTTTAACTGTGGGACTCCCGGTCACATTGCTAGAAATTGCCCACATCGTTCATATGTTCCCTACTATAAACAAGGGTGGCAGAACGTGCCAAGGGGGAGATCTTCCAAAAGAAATCCTTCGAGGTCACATTCAAGCAATGGTGATTAGAATGCTATAAAGGCCAAGAATCAAACTCCTAAGGACAAAAAGGGCATGTCGGACAAGAAACCTAATTCGAGAGATGGTTTTGCCAAACCGAATTCGATGAGGTCGAAGTCATCTCAAGGGTCGTCCTCTAGCTTACACTCACAACACAAGCCCAAATCGAAAGGCAGTCCGAGCCCAAAGGCAAGTGAAAAAGGTCCCATTCGGTCCAACAAGAAAGTACACAAATCAAATTACCAATGGGTTCCTAAAGGTCACATTTCAATATCGTCCAAAAGTCCTGTAACTTCTTCATGTTCCTTATCTGATAAACAGGATATGTCATGGGAAAGAGTATCATGCGTAGATTGTAATGGTAAACTTAGTTTCATAATGGACTGGGTTCTCAAAACCAACTAATCTCGAACTCTATGCCGGAGCAGCTATGGAGGAATATCATCAGACTTCGATATGGTGGCAGTGGCTGTTCCAGGCACATGACAGGAGACATCTCTCAATTTCACGACATTCAGAACTTTAATTGAGGGTATGTGTCATTTGCGGGAAGGGAGAAAGAAACGATCACACAAACGGGGCCCGTATTTAACGGCGTGATGAATTTTGAATATGTTAACTTCGTTCCGGAATTGAAATACAACTGAGGCTGAATACTTTGCTGTCTCTGCGTGCTGTTCTCAGGTCATCTAGATGCAACTTCAAGCGCTGTTCTCAGGTTCTCAGGTCATCTGTTCTCAGGTCATCTAGATGCAACTTCAATTGCTGAATTACGGTTTGAATTTTATTTATACTCCTGAGTTTTCTTAAAATGATTCGTTTTGAAGACTAAAAATTGTTTGTTTTGTAAATTTTGTATTTTATTTTTTTTTTATTTAAATTTGTTCGTATTTCTCCTCTATGCACAAATTTAGGGGGAGAATTAAAACCAAACAAAAATCATAAAATTCAAAAATCCAAAAATATTTTATTTTATTTCTGTTTTTATTTCTTTTTCAGAAAAATCAAAAATATTTTTACTGTATTTGAGCGTATTTTAATTTTATTTTTATTCTTAGTTATTTTTATTGTGTGCTAAGTTTATTTTTATTTTTATTTTTTATCTCAAAATTTCATTTGACTTAAAAAACAAATTCAAAAGAAGAAGAGACTCAAGGAGACTGTGTCGGAATTTTCTGTGCAAGAAAAGATCTTGAAAGAAATTGTCGGAGTTACACTTCACACTACTCTCACAAGGAATTGAAGGCATGAAACTGTACAAACTGTCAGTTAGGCAATATCTCTTTAAGAACTGTCGTATCTAAGGAATTGAAAGTCTGAAACAGTACAGATTTTCAAATTAGTCTTGTCAGTTATCTTTACCTAAGAAATATCATGGCACCAGGGCGATTCACCCAACCGGGAAATAGATATTGATGAACATCCCGCCCAGGGTCTTGACATTCTTTGTGTCATGCAAAACTGTGGAGACTCAAATGTATTCTCGGATACGTTCTCCGCAGGTAAGGAATTAACGGTTATTGGCACTAGGGCGATGCACCTCGCAAGGCACGATTATCGATGAATGTCCCGCCAAAGGGCCTTGACCTCGTGTCATGCTAAACTGTGAAAATATGTCCTCGGATATTTTTTGTCACTAGATGGTTTTGTGAGTTATTCCTAATCAACTCTCACTAGCACTAGAATGGTACACTCAGCTGATATTCAGAAACCATTAAACGTCTCGCCAAGGGCCAAGTTAATTTGTTAACTTGAAAAACTGTATTGAGATCTTTGAGCGAGGATATGCAGGGGCTAACATTAAAAATAGCCACGAGTAGTTCTCCGATACTCAACAAATCGCAGTGCGTTCCTCCGTGTTCACACAGATACTGTAAGTAGTCTCCATCTGAGCCAAGGTTGGGTCCTTGAACAACTGTGGTGAGAAGGGTCTTTATGATTCTGTGATCCACAGGGACTTTTTAGTCATGATTACTTTTCAAGACGCATTTGTGATCGACAAAGAATATTCATTCGAAGGAACAAGAAGTGAAGATTATTTTTCAACACACAACCTTTCAACCCTAGAAGCAAGGTGAAGTTGTTTTTGAAGTTATGTGACGGATTGCATTGAAGCCTCCTCAATCAATTTGCTGCTATCTATGAACTTGCTGAAGTGATCCAGAAGAATCGGTCTCTCTGTTATTATCTCTAAAGTTTATCAAAGCTGAAAGTGCTGATTTACAAGAACCTATACAAGAAGCCTCTATTTTCCAATGTGCGTTCAAATTCAATTTTTAAAAGGAAGTCCAACTATTCAAGACGAAGTCATTCATGCAGAAATTCATATGTCCGTCTTGAAGTTGTGAAGAAATCAAAGATAAATGTTGAAGGTCATGAACAAAGAGAAGATTGAAAAGAAAAGAAAGCTATAAACCAAGGGTGAGATTGTTAGGACATAATTAATGGTTTATACTTTACTTTTGTTGGATTTTAGTGTTCTCGGTACAGGACCGAATTCTCCATATTCTCGGTGGTGTTTGGACCGAAATCACCTTGTGATTTCGGTGGATGATGTCACACCCCTGGACCAGACGGCAGAAACATCCGGAGGCGGGTGACTTCATTGTGCAGTATCATAACAATCGGATATAAATGAAACATAGCAAATCCAAACATCATACATCAATATAACAAACTTACATTGTTTTACATCATGTTTATGTTTTTGAGTTACACAAAAGAAACATTGATGAGTAAGTTCCAAAATACATC